TGTGCGGTGGAATCTGCACAATGCATTAACTCAGGGTTTGTCTCAGGAGTCCAAATTTGAAACCTTCACCATAATGGGCTCTGCTATATAGGGCGCAGTGTTCCCCTTAGGCAACACAAATTTGTGTTCTTTTGCAAACGTATCTTCCAGCTCAGGGGTAGGTCAAGATGAGGTCATGGCGGTAGAAGAATTTATCTGAATCTTGGCATTAGGGAACTCTTGACTGTTTCTTCATAGACTCAAATCTCCCAGTCTGGCTCCGGTGGGTAAAGGAAGATTAGCACTGTGGCATGCTAGGAACTTGGGAGATTCAATGTCAGTCTTGTTCTTTCACCTCTTATTTGTGTCAATAATCTTTTGCCATTATTAGTACTTATCAGATTGTAAATGTTGGGTAAACTATTGTTCTCATTCTTTTATCATTTTTTAATCATGCCTATGTGTGTGTAAATATGTCGCATGCTTGCAAGTGCCCATGTAGACCAGAAGTATCAAGTTGCCTAAAACTGGATTTATAGGCCATTTTGAGCCACCTAACAAGGGTGCTAGGAACCGAACTCGAGTCCTCTCTAAGAGTAGTATGTACTCTTTTTTTTTTTTTTTTTTAAATTTATTTATTTATTAAGGATTTCTGCCTCGTCCCCACAACCGCTTCCCATTTCCCTCCCCCTCCCCCGATCAATTCCCCCTCCCTCATCTGCTCGAAGAGCAATCAGGGTTCCCTGACCTGTGGGAAGCCCAAGGACTGCCCACCTCTATCCAGGTCTCGTAAGGTGAGCATCCAAACTGCCTAGGCTCCCACAAAGCCAGTACGTGCAGTAGGATCAAAAACCCACTGCAATTGTTCTTGAATTCTCAGTATTCCTCATTGTCCGCTATGTTCAGCTAGTCCGGATTTATCCCATGTTTTTTCAGACCTAGGCCAGCTGGCCTTGGTGAGATCCCAATAGAACATCCCCATTGTCTTAGTGTGTGGGTGCACCCCTCGTGGTCCTGAGTTCCTTGCTCGTGCTCCGTCTCCTTCTGCTCCTGATTTGGACCTTGAGATTTCTGTCCGGTGCTCCCGTGTGGGTCTCTGTCTCTGTCTCCTTTCATCGCCTGATGAAGGTTAATATTCCTGAGGATGCCTATGTGTTTGTCATTGGATTCACCTTCTTATTTAGCTTCTCTAGGAACATGAATTATAAGCTCAATGTCCTTTATTTATGGCTAGAAACCAAATATGAGTGAGTACATCCCATGTTCCTCTTTTTGGGTCTGGCTTACCTCACTCAGGATAGTGTTTTCTATTTCCATCCATTTGTATGCAAAATTCAAGAAGTCCTTGTTTTTTACTGCTGAGTAATACTCTAATATGTGGCCAAAAGACACTTAAGGTCATGCTCAACTTCCTTAGCGATCAGGGAAATGCAAATCAAGACAACTTTAAGATACCACCTTACACCTGTCAGAATGGCGAAAATAAAAAACACCAATGATAGCCTTTGCTGGAGAGGTTGTGGAGAAAGGGGTACACTCACCCATTGCTGGTGGGAATGCAAACTTGTGCAACCACTCTGGAAAGCAGTGTTTCGGTTTCTCAGGAAATTCGGGATCAACCTACCCCTGGATCCAGCAATACCACTCTTGGGAATATACCCAAGAGAGGCCCTATCATACAACAAAAGTATATGCTCAACTATGTTCATGGCAGCATTGTTTGTAATAGCCAGAACCTGGAAACAACCTAGATGCCCTTCAACGGAAGAATGGATGAAGAAAGTATGGAATATATACATATTAGAGTATTACTCAGCAGTAAAAAACAAGGACTTCTTGAATTTTGTAGTATGTACTCTTAACTGCTGGCCATTGCTGTGTTGTTTCTATCTCGTCCCAGTCTGCTTTAAACCTCAGGTAACTCATCCTCTCCCCCTTATAACCCACACAACCAGTTTCCCTCTCTCAGAAGACAGTCTTACCATTTCCTCCTGGGATGTTTTGCTTTCTTCACTCAAGCCGTGCACTTACTGGCTTGCAGCTAGACTGCACAGCGGATCTCTATAGAGCCAGCTCGCTTCTGTCTCCTGCTACTTTGTCCATCACTGATGAACGCTCATCGTTCTTGCTTCGACATTGTCTGTGCCCTTCTAGACCCTGTATGTCATCTGCAGTCTGCCCCCGCCTCTATTCCCAGAGTTTCTTTTCTGCTCTTCCTCAGTTTGAACCCTCAGCACGGATTTATTTTTCAGTTGGCCCCCAATACAACTTTTGTCTACTTATTATTCAATTGGGCTTTCATCCACAATGCCCTCCTCTTTCCTAACGTAAGGGTCCATGTCCAGCCTGTAAGGGTCTTATATCTTCCAACCACTTCTCCAATCAAAGCAGAAAGTCATGACCTCCGACCTCGCTCACCCTTCAATCCCACTCTTAGTCACTTGGTTAAAGCTGTCACTCACGGCTAAGTAGCTCTAATGGTGTAGACGTCAGTTGATTCTTTAAGCTACTTGATATTTTTGATGACAAGAGGTGAGACCTCCTATTTTGTGATCCCAGCAGCATCTAACTGACTTTTCAGGTGTGGCTGCTTATGGGTATCACTTACAAAGCCGCACAGTGGAGAATCGGGAACTATGTGGTCCACAAAGTAGGAGACAGTGGATGTTCCCTTGGTGATATGGGTTTCATGGAATTGATGCATAGAGGAATGGAGAGCCACGAAGTGAGTGCAGTCCTGGCAACGGACTATTTGATCCATGCTAATGGATGGGCTTCCCTCCTCTGTGCCTATCACGTAGGTCTATCTGGGAAACTCAAAGCCATCTTTTATGGGTTCCCATCACGTGACAGGTTGTGGAACTCTGGGAGTCTCATTCAGGTGACTGTAGTAGACAAAACAGATCCCTACTGTCCTGGAGCTTGGGCTGTTGGGTCTGGGAAAACATCGCCGATAAATACTATCAGGTGATGTAATGATTGCTGAGGCAGAAAACAACACAGGTTAAGTGGCAGAGAGACAAACTGTCCTTTTCTACCAACTAGTCACAAAAATAGTCACCATCTGTCTGCAAGTAGCGGGGGCTTTAAAATGCAGCCTGACTGGGGATAGGGTTCAGTGGTAGAGCACTCACAAGGCCCTGGGCTCTATTCCTAGCCTGCAGAAAGAGGAAAATAAAAGAAACCTAAATCAAAACAAAACAAAGCCCATTCTTCCTTGATTGAAATCCAGGAAGCAGAGCTGATGAGGTAATTAGGATGGAAGTAGACACTCTTGTTTCCTGCTACCCCCCTCTCTGCAATGAGAGGGCTTGGCAGTGTCTTCTGGCCAGGGCAGACCCTAGAAAGCGGATGGCGAAAGGGGAAACGGTGAGGGGATTGGTCCTGCAGTAAGAAATAGCCTGGGTGTGGTGCACCCATTCATGAAGAAGCAGAAAGCAGGTGTGTTTGGCTTGTGAACCCAAGCGTGAGCACCGAAGCCTGAACCTACCACGTTGCTCTGGGCATTACCCTATTGCAGGCTTAACCCTTCTTCACTAGTCTAATATCATGTCAGCTCTGGACACTCACTTGGCCTTTCATTTCCCTTTTTTCATGTTAAGGATTGTAATCCTTACAGTCAATTTAAGATGATTTAACCCAACCTTTAGTCTTCCAGATTTTCTCCATGTCACTAACAGGTTTCTGTGTAGCTAGCAAGTGGAAGTTTACTCCAGTAAGATGCATGGTTTTTTTTTTTTTGTTTGTTTGTTTTTTTTTGTTTTTCGAGACAGGGTTTCTCTGTGGTTTTGGAGCCTGTCCTGAGGTGCAATATACACCTCTTTATTAGGTAGAGAGGATGGTATTAGTTGGATAAATATTTAAGGAGAACAAAGTTCCACCCGCAGAGTTGGAGATTGTGTGTATGTGTGTCTCTCCGTGTGTGTGTGTGTGTGTGTGTGTGTGTGTGTGTGTTTGCATGAGTGCAGTGTGTATATCCTTCTGCATACACCTCAAGAAAAGTGCCCGGGAGTTTAGCTAACTCAAAGCTTCGAGACAAGGCTTGCTATCAGTTTTATAGAACTGGGAGACAGGGAAGCTTGTGTGGGAACCATGGAAACTACTTAAGATTGAGAGCTCGTGCTCTGGACCGGAGCTGGCCATGGTGAAATTGAGCCGCTGGGATGATCTGACTTGTTTGTGAACATCAGCTGCAGAACTCTGAAGGATGGCGGTGGGAGCAAGTTCTGCCCACCTGACTCGGGATTCTGATGCCACAGCGCAGAGGTGCTTTCACCTCCCGTTTCTGGGATGAATGCACTTGGGGCATCTCCCTAGGGCCCAAAACTCAGCTTCTGAGTGGAGTCCTTCGGCTAGGTGGATGTCTTCTGGCTTTACCGCTGACTCCCTTGGCTAGAGAGGCCGCAGGCAATCTAAAGTGGCCCTTCTGCCTTCGCCCCCCACCTGCCTGGCCAGCGCGGGTACCGCAAGCTACAAACGCGGCCAACTCCATCCTCGCGTGCGCTCTGGGTTGCCGAGACGCACCGGAGTGCTGGGATTGGGCTAGCGGGGCCTCCTGAAGGTCCAGAGCGGGGTGAGGTCTCTGGCAAGACCAGATCTAGAGAAGCCTGGGGAACCTTCTCCACAAGTCCAGGTTGGGTGGGGCTTCCGAGGAGGGGCGGGGACTCTACTGGTCCACGGAGGGGCAGGGCGTCAGGCAGGGGCGGGACCTCCGCAAATCCACAGCGAGGCGGGGTCCCAGGGGTGGGGCCTATTCACAGGTCGAGGTGGGGCGTCTCAAGTCACCGAGGGGTGGGGACTCACAGGTCCAAAGCCCAGCTGGGTGGGGCTGGGCCTGCCGCTGCTGCCTTGGCGGCTGTGGCTACAGTTTAGTCTCCAGGGGCAGCCAAGGTACATAGGCAGCCCTAGTCTCTCCAGAGCATCCTTTTGCGGCTGGTCCCCGCCTGCAGCGCGCTTGCAGCCTCGGGCCTGGAGGCTGACTTCTTTTGTGTTTTGTTTTCTGCCCCGCGCCTCATCTGCAGGACCCATTCGTTCTTCTGCGGGCTACAAGAAGGCAGAGGATGAGATGTCCCGGGCCACGTCTGTTGGAGACCAGCTAGAGGCACCGGCCCGCATAATTTATCTCAACCAATCTCATCTCAACAAATTCTGCAACAATCAGATAAGGTAGGAGAAGCTGCAGCTGGGGGAAGCTCAGCGCTCACCTTCACGGGATGGCTTTTCCATCACCCTGCCAACCCTTAGTCCACTTGCTCCCCCCAACACTTCGCATCTCTTCCTCCTGCACCCACCATGAGCCCAGAGGTCCGCACTCGGTACCCACCCACCGGGCCATGTGAGCACAGTTGCTGTGTCCTCTCCCTTTGCAGTGCTGTGCCCAGTCCCTCTGTGGGCCCCGCAGAAGTTATTCTAATGCCAAAAAGTGAAGGTGTCCACTGCCTGGACTGCCTTCCAAGAATCCCCACAGTCTCCATGTAACCTCATTGATGGCTGTCTTTGTCGTAGCTCTCTTGAGGAGTTTGCGAAACGTCTGTGGGGAAGTGCTTTTCACGGGGAATCCCACAAGCCACGGGGGCTCACATTCATTTCCCAGGGACCCAAGGGTCTTATTTGCTAGAAAACTTTGTCCAGAGTCAGCAGAAAAATGTTGGGAAGGTAACATTTAGCATTGTAGTGAGTGCTTAATGTCTGTTCTCTGTCTGCTGGCCACTGTGTTAGAGGCATTAGCGGTGCCAGCATCTCCAATGTCTCGTGGAGCAAGCCATTAGCTTCAGATCAGGAAACTGGAGTGCAGAGATGTGACATGTTGTACTAAGCTCATATTATATACATATATAGCTACTGGGTGGGAAGGCTAGAAATCGAACCCCCTCACCTGACCAGCAAGCACATTCCAGCTGCTGTGCAAAACCTGTTTCTTAGCTTGGTGTTAGCCCACTTTGACCAGCTTCACCTCCGAGAGTGATTTCCAAGGATAGTTTTGTGAGCTACATAGATCACCATAATCAGGTCTGGAAGGCACTGATGGATCAGGTCCCGTGCAGGTCATTGAAATGCAACCTCGTGCATGTGCGATCTCTCTCTCTCTCTCTCTCTCTTTCTCTCCCCCCCCCTTTGGCTAAAACTTTGTTATTGTTACATATCTAGCTATTACACTACCCCAGTAATGCCACACTGGCTGCCTAGCTTGCGGCAAGGTCTGTTTGTTGGTCGCTTCTATAGCTGGATTAAGATTTGGGAAAGAATAACAATACGCCTATGTGCATTTATTTTATTAAGGGAGGATTGGAGTGATGTCTCAGCCGTTAAAGGCTAGGCTCACAACCAAAAATATTTTATTAAAGGAGCATCAGGTTGTGTGGCTTTATTTTGTGTTTCAAGAATGCCCTTCGAACACATTTTATATTTAAAAAGTGACGCTTAGGCTATCTGAGTCTTCATTCCTGAATATGTAGTCTTGTTTTGAACTATGGAACATTGCAGATATGACAAACAGCCCGTTATAGTTTTACAAATCAGGGGAACTGTAATAAAATAATAGAGGGGAAACTGGAGCCTCATACGTTGTCAGTAAGAATGGGAGATGGGCTGCTGCTGTGGAGAGCGGGTTGGCATGGCTCCAAAAGGATCAGGGGAAGGTTAGCACAAGAGCCAGCAATTCCAAGGCTACATACATAGATAACACACGTGGAAACAGAGGTCCTCACAAACACTTGCACAGAGATGCTCATAGCAGCAGGACTATGGTGTCCATCACACACACACACACACACACACACACACACACACACACACGTCTTCATTTGGATGAGTCACTGAAGTGTGGATAAGCCACACAATGGAATATCGTCTGGCTATAAAATGGTACAACATGGATAAAACTTAAAAGTTCTTAAATGAGAGAACAAGCCATGAAAAGTCTCAATTTGTATGAACTGATTTATGTGAAATACCTAAAAGAGAGATGTATCTCAAGGTCCATTAGTGGTTCCTGGAGCTGGTGAAGGAAGGTGACGGCATGGGAGATGCAGAGTGACTGCCGTGTAGCCTGGAATGATGGCTGTGTCACTCTGAATACACGAAAAGTCACTGGAGCCTGGCATTGGCCATGTAGTGCTAAATCTGCATGCCTTTCATATTTTTATTGAGTTCTTTGCAGAAACCACTAAGGTCATTTTTTTAAAAAAAAGTTAAATATTATGTGAGGAGATTAGATTGGAGCATCACTTTAAAAAAAACTTTAGTCATTTTCAAAATGTATTTTTGCTTTTTCCACCAATTTTAGTATCTCTGTGGTCATTTGGAACAGTGACAACAAAATGGGGATACCCCACCCCATCCGTAGTTTCCATAAGAGGTATGTTGTTTAGTTTCTTGTCAACTTGACACAAGCAAGGATCACCTGAAAAGAGGGACCCTCAGTTGAGAAAATGCCTCCACTGCCTACAGCAAGTCCACAGAGGACATTTTCTTGATTAATGGTTAATGTGGGTGAGCCCAGCCCACTTGGAAAGTATGATCTCTGGACAGATAGTACTTGGGTGTGTGTAAGAAGCAGGCAGAGGAGCCATGGAGAGCAAGCCAGTAAGCAACACTCCTCCATGGTCTGCGCTTCAGCTCCTGCCTTAAGTTCCTTCTCTGACTTCCCATCACGATGGCCTGAAGACCTTAGACTGAAATAAGCCTTTTGCCCCCACGTTGCTGAGATCTTGCGCTTATCACAGCAATGGAAAGTGAACTAGGAGCGGAGGCAAACATTTCAGAGCAATAGGGGCTCAATACCTGTCTCTATCAGGGCTAGTTTTAGCCTTAGAGGGATTCCAACGCGTTCCACGATAGTTTCATTTGTTCTTTTTATCCAAGAAGGGTTTGGAATAAGTGTGTGTATGGAACTGGCTGGGAATAAAGCAGGCATGTACCAGCTGTACAACTGTATGGTTGGATTCATTTAAATGTATCATACTAAGTATTAAAATGTCAATTTCTGACTTTGTGGCTTATCCTGTAAGAATGTTTCTAAACGCACTCGACCTAGGCTAAGAACTTTACAGTGAGGTCCTTGAGCCTCTGTGTTCCATTGGTGCTATTAATGGAATCACTAATGGTTGTCAATGACTTGTAATTCATTAGGAACTGATTACAAAGCTTGACCTTAGAGTTTTGGCTTTTACAAATCACTGAGGTATGGAACTGGGGCACTTCAGAGATGTTAAAGTCAACTCTAAAAAAAAAATCATTTTTTTTTAAAAAACTAAGCTATTCAAGCGAATGTTTTCATAAAAGGGAATTGCTAAAGAATTTCTTTTTCTTCTTATAATTTTCCATGTGAAAAGGTTGATACTTTTTTCATGGGCAAGAATTGGGGAGAGTGTTTTCTCAGACCACCCTCTCCCACTCGTGCTGGGGACGGAACCTGCCTTACACACTCTAAGCAATGCTACACACTTAGGCATGTTGCCTCTATATTAAGCTTTTTGGAAAGAGAAGATCCCAGGGGCAGCTGAGGATCCTAATGGTCCGTTGACTGGGGTGTCTTTTCAAAGCCTGCCTTCTCCAGGTCAGGGTTCTCTGACTCCCCTTACAGCAAGCCCTTTCTGACTGAAAATTACTCTGTACTTGCTTTTGCAGGTGCTTGACAAGGTTGTATTTAAAGACAGTGAGGAAGGGGGCTGTTGAACATCTGGGGAAGTACGTGAAAGATGATGTGCTGTACTTCAGCATCGGAACTGGTAGGACTCAAGGGAGAGGCTTGACCTGGAAGATGGCTTGGGGAAGGAGTGAGCAGTCATATCTGGTTGGCCCTACACTTCTGGGGGATGCCCTACATGGGAATTCTAAATTTTGGTCATGTGTGTGCGAGTCCTGGACTCAGCACTGATGTCGTATCTGATCTGCTGCTTGCTGACGTTTTCCACCAGGAAGTCAGGGAATCAGCATCGTCACCATGGTGGTCAGCTTTGAAGCAGCACCTTTCTCCTAGGCATGGGTCTCACCTAAGAGGACAATGATTTTTGTCATTGTGTAGAAATTAATGGTCAAGCTGGGCGTGGTGACGTACGCCCTTGATCCCAGCACTTGGGAGGCAGAAGCAGGTGGATCTCTGTGAGTTTGAGGCCAGCCTTATCTTCATAGGGATATCTGGGACAACCAGGGCTACATAATGAGACCCTGTCTCAAAACAACACAAATCAAAACAAACAAAAAGAAATGGATGGTAATCAATGGGATGTTTCAGTGTTCTTATACTTTGGGAGGACTGTGCACCTAACGAGATCTCTTTTCTCTGGCCTACACTCTCATTTCCTTTAACATTTAAGTGCATACTTGAGACACCTAAAGTTATAGCTCAGTGATGTTTTTGTTTAATTATGGAATTGTGTAACCATTATAATTGTAAAATTTAGACCATTTATGCCACTTGAAGAAGAGACTGTCCCATCTGTCAATCATCCTTCTCCCTCACTGTACCATCACCTGTCAGTCATCCTTCTCCCTCACTGTACCATCTATCTGTCATTCTTCTCTCTCCCTTCTGCCTCTTCCCTCCCCCTCCGCACCTAAATAACCACTAATCTACTTTATGTTCCTCTGTGTCAGGCATTTCCCATGAATGGTACCATATCCTCTTATGTAGTTTATTTAAATTAAAGCTTAACAAAAACTTGCTCTGTAGAGGGATGTGATGCTAACTCTTTAGTTGTATATATTTTGGCATGATTTTCTAAAGGAATGATGAACAATGTTTGTGGCCCCACAGTCAGCAGTATGTCATCTTTCTCTGTGGCTATCAATGTATGTCATTTGGAATTCTGGCTTTCTAAGCTGTAAGGAATTTTCATGTTTGGAGTCAAGTCTTCAGTGCAAGTTTTAGATACTTCATTTGGGCTTGGAGTGACTCATTTATTTCAGGTGGGTGTTTCAGCGAGCAGCATTCTGCAGGAGAGCAAGTGAGCTGTGTCACATTAGCATGTTTCTTCAGGCTGCGTTGTCTTAAGGGAAAATTGCTTTCTATTTAATGTAAATATATATTGCCGTCTTTGCAATGTAAGTTTAAAATAAAGTCTCACCTGTCTAGAGAGAAGAACTGAGCATCGGGTGTTAAGTGTATATAGGATCATCATTTTAAGAAGCAGGTTAGGCATTCCTAATTTGAGAATCCAAAATGA